CATACATACATACATACATGCATACATGCATGCATACATACATACATGCATCCATGCATGCATGCATACATATATACAAACATACATACATAAACACATACATACATACATACATGCATGCATGCATGCATACATACATACATACATACACACAGACAATACACACAGACATACATACATGCATACACACACAGACATACACACAGACATGCACACATACAAACATACATGCATACATACATGTACATACATACATACATACACACAGACATACACACAGACATACATACATACAAACATACATGCATACATACATACACATACATGCATGCATGCATGCATGCATGCATGCATGCATGCATGCATGCATGCATACACACGCACAGACATACACACAGACATACATGCATGCATGCATGCATACATACATACATACACACAGACATACACACATACATACATACATACATACATGCATACATGCATGCATGCATACATACATACATACATGCATACATGCATGCATACATACATGCATGCATGCATACATACATACATGTATTTAAAGCATTCCTTTGGGCACCTTCCCTCCTGACCTGGGTCTGGCAGGTGGATAGACGTCGCAGCGACAGCTTCCCCCGGTGCAGGCAGGCCTGAAACCAAAAGGCCCAAACTCAGCGTCTAGGAAAAGGACATCTCCATGGGAATCAGACTCAGCGTCCCTGTAATTGGTTGTTTGGTGATTTGGAGGTTCAGGGGTACCTTCTTTATTTGTAAATATCCTGAGGTTCAAATCCCCAAACCACCAATCCAATCCACGAAACAAGGGTAACCTGAAAGATTTGGCCAGAGGGATCCCCTGCAGCTTAGGAAGGGCAAAAGTCAATTGGGGTTCTTGGCAGCCAGAGAACCCCTTAGGATCACCCTGCGGCTGTCTCCTTCAATGATGGCAAGTGAAAAACTGCCAGGAGTCGTGTATAACGTGACTTACTTGAGTCACTCGCGTTTACTTGAGTCAGTGAACTGAATATCTTTGGACCACGTGTTGTGTTGGATGCAGAGATCAAGGAGTGGACTGGCATGGCCTGGCCAGACTCATGTGAGAGTGGGTGGCCGCGAGGCCTTGGCGTGCCTTTTGTCAGCAGACGTTGGTTTTGTCCGACCACCGGTATTTCTGCTCCCGAAAAAAAACCATGGCAAGTGGGGAGGGGTGGTTCCCTTCAACAGTTAAGCCAGTTTGAATATGACTTGTTGGACCAAGGGTAGCTCGGTCTCCCCTTGCTGGGGTGATGTTTAAAGGGGAAGAATAGGGAGCCCTGGTTTGGATCGGGGTCAATAGGGAACTGGGGGGATGGTAGAACAGCGGAACCAACAGGAGTCCCTAACGCTTCGTGGCTGATGATCCATTGTGCTGTAGGCGACGCCATGCGTAAAATGAAGTCGCGTCAGAGTGTTCCAATGTTGACACGATTTGTGCGTATGTGCCCATATTATATATACATATATGATCATATATGTATATGTATGGTTGTGCTGCTTTGTTTTGTTTTGTAGGTTTTTCTTTTTGGTTGTGTGCTAGCTTGACTGCTTCCTGGCTTGATTGCTTGTGTGTTTGTTGTTGGTTGGTTCCTTGCTTGATTGCTAGCTTTCTTGCTTGCTTGTGTTTAGATGTTTGCTTTCGTGTTTGGTTTTTGTTTGCGTCATGGTGTCTCTGTGTGCGTGTGTCCTTTTGTCATTGTTTCCTTGTGTCCTTGTATCCCTATATCCTTGTGTCCATGTGTGTTGTTTTCCTGCTGTTCTGTGCGTGTTTGTGTGTGTGTGTGCGTGCCAGGTTGCCTGCGTTGCCACTGGACTCTCGTTGTTTGTTCGGTGTGCGGGTGGCCTCGTGAGGGACGCTGAGCTGCGGCCTCTGGCGCAAAGGCGCGGAAGCCGTAGGCGGCCGATGGCGTGGAGGTTCGCCATGCCAAGACAGAGAGACATGGGGCGTCTCAAATTCAAACATGCAGATGACTTTCACCACTATGAAGTTGATCAACCCCATACAACATGATTGATTTGCTGTAGGTGATGCTGTGGATGGTTGCGAAATTCATTTCGCACCACGTAAGAAACCCTTTAATGATTCGATTCCCCTGCAAATACCAACAAACAATGGTTTCCCATGGTTTCAAAGTGGTGCAGGAGTTCGTCCATCCACAGTAGGGATCCCTTAAATTGGTTGGCATCCTGTTGCTTTCGTTTTGAATACCAGGAGCAAAAGGGTTTCCACTGGGTTTCCACTGATGCTTTCAACATTTTGATAAAATTACCTCTTGTTCAGAGGCGTGCCCCTAAAGAAATCGCAACCATCCACAGTCCCCCCCCCCAAAATGAAAAGGAAAAGCAGGAACGAATGTCAGCTTTTTCGTATGCTGATTCTTGCTCCAATTACCAGCAGTTTTGTGAAACCTCCTGTTATTTGCTCCATTCCTGATTCCTGAGTTCATGAACTTGAAATGTTTTGGGAAGATCATTGTAGTGGTAAATACAAAGTTTAAACTTGTTTTGGGCAATCCATTCAGGAACAGCTTTTGTCAGCATCAACTTTGCGTCCAGAAGTGCTAGAGAATTTGTTTTCGCCCGCAAGGGAAAAACACTTGCCCAAAGCGATTCGAACTTTTGACCGCCAGGTTTCCCTCTTTGGTCCATTTTAGGCACCCCAAGAGTTAACCTTTAATTTTGGGTCCTTTGGGCGACTAAGTGATCAGAACAACGCAACAGTAACGACCACTCCATTTGGGCATGAACCGATCCCTCACGAGATGCCCGAGCCTTCAACGACATCCGAAAACGTTACTTGTGCAAAGGGGCCACCCAAAAGTTTGACTCACTTCCTGAGTTCCTGAACTTTATACTTTTTTGGGAATACCATGTTGATTGCAAACACACAGTTTGAACTTTTCTGCCACAAGAAGTGAGTTGATGCAAAGCCAGTTGCCGGAAAACGCCGGAAACCATAGAGCGAAACCCCAAAGACGAAGACATTCTGCTGGAAAAAGTGTTTTTTTCCTCAGAAGTTTGCCGACGCTCAAATAGAACTGGACGAAAGCGGGACCCCCCTGTATCGGAGACTAGCGTGAAGCGTGTGCTCCAGATTGACCACGAAGTGGATGAGAAAGTGCCCAAGGGATCCTCAAGTTCGGAACTTCAAGTTCAATGTAATTTGGTCCCCCGAATGAACAACGGTTCCCCCCCCGTTTATAAAATAGGAAGAAGGGATTACAGGCCCACGTCTCAGCTTCCCTTGCATTCTTTTGGTTTCCCTTTGGCACACCTGGAAAATTGGGATTTGTAGACGCCACGAACATGTCCTGCCCGTTTGATTCCTGAGTCATTGAAGAGCCACGAGCCGAATGGCAAGCCCTCAGACTAGGAGTTTCGAGTTCTTACTCAATTGACAAGCCTCATGTTCTAAGCGACTATATACTTTCTGAGCGATACTTTTGTGTTGACGTGACTTGGCTTACGTCTTTCAACTGCAGCGGTTTCCTGTTGAAACTGGGCTACGTTCTGCCTGATTTTGCTGCAAGTGTCCTGTAGGATTAGGGATCCATTTTGAACCGGAAATGAATTTCATGGCTGTTTGATTCTAATTCCCCTCATGGAACCCAAAAGAGGTCCAGTTTGAAGGAACATGTTCTTCCACCTCAGTCAGGTTCCATGGCAACATGGACAGGAGGGTTTTCTGGGTGAGCCCGGCCCTTGTTGCAATTCTCTGGTTATGTCGAGCCATGTTACGGCTCGCGCCTGTTTCCAATGTTGCAAGTGTGCTGCCAGTCGACATCCAACCTTATTCGACACACAAGTCGTGTAGAGGAATATGTTATATGGGATATGGGAGGCATATGTTTCAGCCTTCCTTGTTAGGGGTTTGGGGCAAGTGGGCGTGTCAAAGGGTTTGGTTACAGCAAAATCTACAGGACATGGCCCCAAAAGGCCCAAAACACCGGAAATAATTAAACTGTTTCCTGTAGAGTGTCCTGTAACCCCCAACCCTTTGCGTGTTTTCCCTTTCTGCCAGGGTGGGGAAGCGCCGGAAGAGCGCGCCAGACTTCGAGCATGGAGCCCAATTGGCATCGCTCGGTAGGGGCCCCTTTTGGTATCTGCATTAGAAGGTGGCACAAGGCGGCACCTGGTCCCAAAAGGGTCCATAGTTTTGACAACACCCGAGTTCCTTCCCCTTTTGGCAATTCAAAGTGAGAATCTTGTTTGGGTGATGCTTGAAGGAAATACTTAGGGACCCCTGTGACACTTGAGCCTCATAGGCCCGAAATCTGGGGCAGCGCAAGTCCTCGCAAAGTAAGATGATGCGAGATTGGATTGGTTCAGCTTGGACCCAGTTCAGTTTTGAGCGGTTTTGCTAGTCATGATCTTGTCGTCTTGTGCCGGACTGTCCAATGACGCTGTATTTGCACCCGTTCGGTCTTGCATGGGCTGAATTTGGCGTGAGTTCAAGAGGGTTTGGACCATTATCTGAAGCCCACAGCCATATATATATATATATATAAAAATATATATATATATATATATAAATAATATTCAATCTGGGGTAGCTACCACCAAGAGAACATTTGTTGGGTTAGTATAACCACAATTATTTGCCCTTCAGGAGTTTCATCATCCAAATTGCAAGCGATTGCGGCGTCTTTCTCGGGAGCCCTCAACAAGGCTCCCTCCCCCGGCCCCCGGAGCAGCGTTTGCTTGAATGGATCGCATGGGTCAGGCATTCTTGGGGTATGGTACGACAATCTCAGGACTCAGGCAGAATTCCCTTGCTGCACAATCAGGGGTGCTCTTCAGAAAGTTGCCAACCCAAAGAGGCCCAAGAGGGGCTCCACACACGCCCCTGCCTGCCTTGGCCTTTGTCTGCCTTGCTGTTGTGCCCGGCCTTTCTGTCCCAGGTAAGCTTTAAATGGGTTGTTTGGGCCCCGAGAGGTCCCAAGAAAACATCACAGACAGAGCGCTGGGAACGTTGGCTCCCGCTTGTCTTTCTGCAGTTCCGACTTGGTCCCAGGTATGAGAAGGCTCGGGCCTGACTTCGGAGCTTCCGGGTTTCGAACCAAAGCTCTGGCCTTCATGGATTGACTTTGCGGTCCTCCAAATCTAAACCTTCGAACTAATGTTAACCCCGGATTAATAAAACCCTGGTTGATTCATAGGGGGTGTCCCCTTTCAGTGGGGATTCATCACTTTTAGAGGGAACACCCCCCAAATGCTGGGACGGGTTTATTCATCCTGGGTCCACACTAGGGCACGAGCAGACTGTTCTTGAGGCCCAGAAACTTCAAGCTTGGATTTTTCAGGGAGTTGGAGCGGGACAGGTTAAAGGCGATGGGTTCCACGGCGATATCCGGACAACCGTGTCAGCCTAGCGCGGCCACAGCTTTTTCGGATAAGCCGGTGTTGTTTTCAAAAGCTTGTTTTCTAAAAGCCTCGTTTGCTCAAAAGTCTGTACGGTTCCAACACATTCTGTTTGGTTTCTTTTAGAATCATGGCCCCGGAGCACGTTGACCATTCCATTGCACGGGTTTTTGTTTCTGCCCAAAGCAATTTTTCGCGCTAGCGTGGGCCCATTGTCTGGGCCATGCCCCCTTGGAGCAACATCCCCAAGCCGCATCAGCCTGCAGACTCCGCCATCTCCAAGGCCACTATTCTTCAGAGAGAGCTTGCGTCCTCTAGGGTAAAGCGTTCAAGACAACGACGCCTCGTAGGAGCAACGAGTAGCGCTAGTGACAATAACAGCAACAGTCGCTAGCTCTTCTAGCTCCGACTGAAAAAGCCGCGCGGGAATGGGAAACAACATTGTGACAGCCAGCCATGTGTTTTCCTGTTGGTCTTTATTTATTCAAAAGCACAGAAAAGGGGGTACCTTCAAAGAAAGACACACCCAAACGAAATCAACTTTCAGCAAGCTTGTGGAGGTTGGTGTGTGCCCAGTGCGAGGTGCTTTCCCTTTCAGACCGGCTCAAGGGTTTGTCAAAAGAATGAGTATTGGATTGCAGCAAGGTGTCCTCCAACCTTTCTGGCTCTTTGGCAGCGGATTTTTTGGACTTCGACTTGTTGGCATAGGTGTCCTTTTTAGGTGAGCCTGGTTAAAACATAGATGGCACTGGTTTAGCCGGGTTTTGTTCCATTTACCAGGGTCATCTATTTTTCCAAAAGGCCACCTATGCTTGTTGGTTGAAACAGCCCGGATTTTCCGAATCGGACCCACACTCTTCTTGCTGGTGCTCAGCAGGGAATGAGGGAATGACCCCTATAAACCACCTTTAAGGGGACCAAAGCCTGGGTTCATTCCCTCATTCCCTACCCATCGCACCAGCAAGTTTTGTTTGACTTTTTGCTCAGGGGTCGTTGCAGCAAGCAACGAGAAGTGCCGGGTTTTTGCAGGTACCCTTTGCAGGTTTCTAGGGGTTGATTCCCCATTCTTTTCAGCCATCGTTATGTTCAAAAACCCATCGCCATTACCCCAGGATTTCTGGTGATTTTGTAGAAATATTCGGATCCCTGGAAAGAATGGACATGGAAGTTATCCCTTGATTGATCCAAAGGTTCGGTGGACATGGGGTGACCATTAGGGAAACCACCCGAAAAGGATACGACTTTCACCACATGGGAAAAGTTGCTCATGGTTGGTGAAGAGTGAAAGCAAAAGGAAGGCCTCTACTCAGCCCGCGGGGTTGCCCGATGTTGACACATACCCACCGAACTCCCCTTTAAAGTTCCCCAACCCCCCGCACCCCCAATCCTAATTTGGGCGAGCGGCAAAATAGGATAGGCCCTTTTGTTGGTACGCCCCTCCAAAAAGCGGCATGTGGCACCGCAAGGGGTCCAAAAAAAGACAGGGCACATTTTTTTGAGGACACGCACCCGAATGGTTTTTCGCTTGGCCCGTCTTCGCCAGGCAGAGAGCACCGTCGAGTGCCTCGTGAGCAATGCCAAGGCTCGCAGCCAGCGGTTTCCAGCGAGCAATCAAAATGAATCGGGCTCCAGCGGGATGTTTTTCCAGTGAGGCCCACCTCAATTCTAAAAATACAACAAGAACATACATGTTTCCAGTGCGGCCCAGCTGAAGACAAAAAGGACTGTGCAAGAACAGACCGGTTTCCATGAGGCCCTGAAGAAAGCAATGTTTGAGATCAGAAGGCTCAACTGTGGGGGGCTAGCCTTTTGCTTTATATTTTGGACCCCCAGATAGCGCTCTATGGCTTGAAAGGGAAGCCTCGCGGCTCACATGCAACTCGACTTCCATGGCTATGGGCATCGCGAGTAGAAGCCATTTCGCCAGAACAATAATAATAATAAGAATAATAATACTAATAATATGTTTAGAAGAAAAACAACTCTTCCCTCAGGAAGGTTACCGAGAGACAGTGTGTTGAGAAGGGGACTACCCGGCTCTTGGGTGCAGTTGTATTTAGTAAGCGCCTAGGCAGCGCTTACGAAGCGCTTAGTGCTTAGCCAGGCGCTTAGTGAGGCGCTTGGCAGAGACATTCGCTTTGGCGGGACAAAGCTCGTGATAGAGCTCTTAAAACCCGAGCAAGCGCTAAGTGAGAATGAAGCAGCTACAAAGTAAGGCATTAGCTACTGGTGGCTTTTTGGCTTTGTTTCTTCTTTTCTTTTCGGGGGGGTAGGGTGTGTAGATTTGGGCCCCCTTTTTTTCTTGGCTTCGGCAAAGGCATTTCCTTGCAAATCAGCAACGACGTTATGAAGTTCTCTACTGTCTCTTGCTCAGCCTGTGGACATGCGACAATTATCCTCATTGTGGCCCGTTGGCCTTCGCATTCGACTCGTTCTTTGCTGCATAATACATACGCGCACACGCCCGCACATGATGCATTGTTTTATCTCAGGGCTCCCAGTATGTCTTTTTGTTCAATAGTTTTGACCATGCAGCGTTGAGTTCAATTTCAAGGGAAATTCTTCAAGTTGGCATATTATGAACTGGAACTATAGCCAGCCCTGCTTCCCTGCACCGAACTAGTGAACAAACAGGGCTGAGCAGCGCCAAGTGTTGCACAAAAAAGCCTGGGTTTTCCCCGATTGAAGCACACTTCCATTGACTTGGTACCGTGGACTTGAGGTATGTTAGAGCTAGATTAGGCGTTGAGCTGCTTGCTTGAAAAAGGTACTCACCCGGCATAGGGTGTTCGAGTTTCACCGCGGTAGAGTTGGGCCACATTTTGCACAATCTTCCTGGTGACTGAACATGATGCAGGCGATAGGAGGTAATATCAGTGCACGAGTAGAAAAAATGCTTCCCCTTTGCTCCCAGATTCCCACCACTACTAAAAGTAAAGGGCCAACAAGGTTTGCCCAACAAAACCTACCCACACATTGTTGGGCCTCCTCCAACCCCACCGATTCAAGGTCAGCCCCTGCAGCCCCCAAGCCAATAAGCCTGCCAGAAAAGGGGGCTTTCCTTTCTGCTGAGTGTTTGCTTAGTCTGCGCTTAAAGCCAGCAATGCTAGGCCACTATTAAACCCCTCAAGTTTCGTTCCCCGAAATGAATTTCCTTACAACAGCTTGTTTTCCTGTCTCCAGTTCAATTGGCTAGAAAGGGGCCAAGGACTCCAGATCAATCAGGGGGTCCTCCGATACATCTCAGTTTTGGGGGCCTTGTCCGAACCTTGTCGGGCGAGCTTTACTGATTAGGGGTAACCATTATAGTTTATAACTTCTCCCAGTCCCATCCTGTCACTTTGGCAAGATCCTGTCAGACGCTCGTTGTCTTCACGCCACTCGTTTTCTGCCATGTGCAGTGCGTGCAGTGCGTTCGCCGCAAGGAAACCTTTGCCAAGAGCAATGCAGTGTCGACTTTGTTATGGCACGGATCCTCAGAATGCGCCTGCAACTTTCACGTTACCACGGAGGGCCCGTCTGTTTGAGGACAGTTTTTCAGGGGTCAGAAGAGGTTGAAGTACATTCCTGAAAGGCACTGGGGCCCTCAGCGACTAGTTACTAGGCGGTGGTTGGATGTGTTCGGGGTGTTCGACTCGGGGTGAAAAGATCCTGTCGGCCTGTGGCCAGGTATCTCGTCAAGCCATCTCACTTCCTGAGTGCTTTGACTTAGACTTTTTGGGAACACCAGTTTGGACTTGTCTGGGCCATCCGCTCAGGAAGTGAGACAGACTACAGTTTGTGTCAAAGCCCTGGCGCTTTTGGACCAGTTTGGCTCTTTCTGTTTGGAGGCTTGGTACTCTTTTCACCGCCAGGGAAGCCAAAAGGAAAAGCGAACCCATTTGCGGGTCGATTGGCCTGTTCTCGCCATATGGTGTTTGTGCCCAAAAGAGACCTGACCTTTTGGGTGCTGATTGGTGGACGCCAGCTGGTGAATCAGTTTACATTGTTGACAGAAATTGGAGGCGGGTGTTTGGCGTCGGCCCTGGTTTTTTTTCCCCTCATCCTTGTCTATGGGTTTTTTTGTTCTGTCAGGGGACCCAATTTGGTGTTGTTCGAAAGGACGTCAAAGGGAAACCACCGATTGTTCCAGGATTTGGAGACAAACACGCAGGAGAAGTCATCGCACAAGAGTTATGCATTTCCCAGGAGAACGAGAGCCGCGCATTTGGAGGGCATTTGGCTTCCGTGCTTCGCCTGAAGCGACGTGTAACCGGACTGTTTCTGAAGCTTGCGCCGGAGAGAGTGCTTTGATGAAGGCAGTTGCTTCATCAAATCTGCCATATTTACAGGGAGCTCACCGATTATTGCAAAGTTACAGACTTGAGTGCATGGCCCATGGTGCACCTCTATTTATAGATGTTCGAGGGAGATTGCATCGAACCCAAGGGTCTCGGAGCGCGTTGACCGAAGCATGTTAGAGCCGCTGATCATTCCGTGTAGAGTTGGACAGACCCCGGTTCTTCCGCATAGCACTACAGCACGCAATCCAGAAAAAAAGCTATTTGGAGCAAGGGGGACATCCTTGGTGAGGGGAAATCCCTACTAACTTTACTTTCTTGTTGGGCCACGGGGTGTTTGGCTCCAAACGAGGGCACTGGGTGGCGTTCATTTTTAGCACCAGAATGGGTGGAACATTCCAAGGTTGTACCACCAGACCCTTGGAACATACCCCTTGAGGATAAGCCAAACGTCAGAGCTAGTTTGGGCAAAGTAGCCCAAAGTAAGGTATAAGACTCTAATGATCGCTTCCTCATTTCATGGACTTTAAACTTTTCGGGAAGGCCATTTTGGCGACAAACAACAAACATGGGGTTGTCTCGAAAAATAGGGGGCCCTGAGAATTGGCAAACGGTTTCCTTGCAGTTCCCCTCAAACCAGCCCAACAAGGGCACCACCATAAAAAGACACACCCACATAGACTTGTTCTGGCCAATCCACTCGATCAGAAGCGAGTTTTTCAGACGAGACTTCCTTCAGGTCTTTGATGCTGGTGAAGGATCAGGCTCTTCAGGACGGCTCGGTCTCATGGTTTGGATCGGTCCAATTGGTGCCCTTTTCTCTCCCGTTTCCTTTTTGGGGAAGGGGGGTTCCCCTGCTAAAATAGACGTCCAGCAAAAAAATGGTACCAACTTATTCTGACCTCTCTACTGGAGGACTTAGTTTTGCTGGTTTTGCGCGAGCCAAAAGCCTTGGACCTTTGGTCTTCACAGTTTGGGTTCCCAAGTGTACCCTCCCACCAACTAACATGGAACCTGACAGGGACCCGGTCCCTCTAGAAGGACAAGTGTTTTCCAGCACTCAGCACCCCCCCTCTCAGGTTCCATGTTAATTGGTGGGAGGGTAGTCAAGGTTTCCACTTGAACCTTTCGTTTCCAGGTGTGGGCAAGAGAGTTGGAGTGGACCAATGCCCCCGATCTAATGCATGACAGCGGCATGGCTCAATGGGTGCAGGGAAAACAAAAGAATATGGAGGGCACCGCTTGGCCCAGTGGTGGGGATGGAGTTCCGGAAGCTTCCGGAAATCGACATGCACACGTGCGCTTGTGTGCACCCGAATCGCACATGCTGGCCTTGTCGTTGTTGCTAGGAGTGAATGCGGGTTGGCCAGCACTTGTGGCTCGCAGCTGGAAATGCTGCAGCTGTGTTCCAATTGCAAGAATGCTTGCCACGTTGCCATGTTTTCTTAGGTGACAGTTATTGACCCAGAGCAGTGTGGCGCCCAAAGATCGGGGGAGGGTTTCAACCAACCAACCAACCAAAGTGGCGTTTCGGCCTTTGAAGGACGGCATGCTGCGGGTTCTCTCTGAGCTGTTGCAGGACGGGTCTCACAGCGAGATCCTTTCGGTTGCATTCGAGATCTTGGATGCTCAATCAACCCAACAAGTGCCGATTTCCGCATGGGTTGGGAAACGCTGAGGAAAACACCCGCAATTCAAGAACTTGATTAGTTTATCCACACCTAGCCGCCAACATCGGAGCACATATGAGCAAAAGGCTAAACTCTCTCGTCATAAAATATGTCTTCGGCGATTTCGCGTTGCTTGTTTTGTATTTTTTCCTCAGGAACGATATAGCGAAGCCCCAAAAACGATAACGTCGCATGACGTGCAACTGGCGCTTCGCGCTTCTATTTTGCACTGTGTGAGCCTTTTTTTGCCCCAAGCTGCAAGTTGCCATGACAGCTCCTGTCAATGCTCCTCGGCAATGCATGGTGGGCACATGTGTGCACGAGATGGGCCCACCCAGATGGATCGCTAACGCACCCGCGCACACGCACACGCACAGGCGCCCGCAGGCACCGGAGCACGCTGCGACCTTCGAGCTGGAGCTGCCAAAGTGTAACTTGCGTACTGCGCTGGTACTGAAAGTTGCGACTTGCGACCTGGAAGTTGCAGCCAGCAAGCAAAGCCGCCAATGCTTGGGAGCCAGAGAAGCATAGTTTAGTCCGCTGATCACATGACTACTGCAAGGTAGAGAAGGCTCTTGTGCGCTTGCTTGGCTCTAGCTTATAGCAAGTTTGTTTTTTTCGTGACACTACACGCGCCCAGAACGATACCCAAAACGACACCCTATCGATACTCCGAGAACGTCCCGGAGCAGCCAATGTGAGGCCTACCTATAGTGCGCTTGCTTTTTCAACCACACGCGCAGCTCCTTCAGCGCACATCCTTCCGCGCACACAAAGGGCCCGCAACGGGCCAGGCCGCGGACGCCTTGGCGGGCTTGCGCTTGCTCCTCAAAGATCTGCTGCTGCAGGAGGATGGGAAGGCCTCACTTGCCCGAGCAGATCTGTGATCCGGAAGGCTTTGGAGAAGAGCCCGAGCTCCAAGAGTGCTGCAGTTCACACTCTCCGAGTGATCCGAAAAGGTGTTTTCGACGCTCCAAAATTACTTTTGGGTATGGTTTGGCGGTGCAGGCAAGAAGCATGAGCAGTAGGAAGGAGAGCAATCGGTGGCCCAGAATGCAGTTCACACTCTCCGAGTGATCCGAAAAGGTGTTTTCGACGCTCCGAAATTACTTTTGGGTATGGTTTGGCATGCCGACTGTGGCGCCTGCGGGTGCAAGCAAGAAGCATGAGCAGTAGGAAGGAGAGCAATCGGTGGCCCAGAATGCAGTTCACACTCCCGAGTGATCCGAAAAGGTGTTTTCGACGCTCCGAAATTACTTTTGGGTATGGTTTGGCATGCCGACTGTGCCTGCGGGTGCAAGCAAGAAGCATGAGCAGTAGGAAGGAGAGCAATCGGTGGCCCAGAATGCAGTTCACACTCCCCGAGTGATCCGAAAATGTGTTTTCGACGCTTTGGGTATGGTTTGGCATGCCGATTACATTGGGTATGCAGTTTGGCATGCCGACTGTGGCAAGTGCAAGCAAGAAGCATGAGCAGTAGGAAGAGAGCAATCGGTGGCCCAGAATGAAACGAGGTGTTTTTGACGCTCCAAAATTACTTTTGGGTATGGTTTGGCATGCCGACTGTGGCGCCTGCGGGTGCAAGCAAGAAGCATGAGCAGTAGGAAGGAGAGCAATCGGTGGCCCAGAATGCAGTTCACACTCCCCGTGTAATCCGAAAAGGTGTTTTCGACTCTCCAAAATTACTTTTGGGTATGGTTTGGTGGCATGCCGACTGTGGCGCCTGCGGGTGCAAGCAAGAAGCATGAGCAGTAGGAAGGAGAGCAATCGGTGGCAAAGAATGCAGTTCACACTCCCCGAGTGATCCGAAAATGTGTTTTCGACGCTCTAAAATTACTTTTGGGTATGGTTTGGCATGCTGACTGTGGCGCCTGCGGTGCAAGCAAGAAGCATGAGCAGTAGGAAGGAGAGCAATCGGTGGCCCAGAATGCAGTTCACACCCTCCGAGTGATCCGAAAAGGTGTTTTCGACGCTCCAAAATTACTTTTGGGTATGGTTTGGCATGCCGGCTGTGGCGCCTGCGGGTGCAAGCAAGAAGCATGAAGGAGAGCAATCGGTGGCCCAGAATGCAGTTCACACTCTCCGAGTGATCCGAAAAGGCCTTTTTCGGATCACTCGGGGAGTGTGAACTGCATTCTTTGCCACCGATTGCTCTCCTTCCTACTGCTCATGCCGTCGCCACAGTCGGCATGCCAAACCATACCCAAAAGTAATTTCGGAGCGTCGAAAACACCTTTTCGGACCACTCGGAGAGTGTGAACTGCATTCTGGGCCACCGATTGCTCTCCTTCCTACTGCTCATGCTTCTTGCTTGCACCCGCAGGCGCCACAGTCGGCATGCCAAACCATACCCAAAAGTAATTTCGGAGCGTCGAAAACATGTTTTCGACGCTCTAAATTATTTTTGGGTATGGTTTGGCATGCCGACTGTGGCGCCTGCGGTGCAAGCAAGAAGCATGAGCAGTAGGAAGGAGAGCAATCGGTGGCGCAGAATGCAGTTCACACCCTCCGAATGATCCGAAAAGGTGTTTTTGACGCTCCAAAATTACTTTTGGGTATGGTTTGGCATGCCGACTGTGGCGCCTGCGGGTGCAAGCAAGAAGCATGAGCAGTAGGAGGGAGAGCAATTGGTGGCCCAGAATGCAGGTCACACTCTCCGAGTGATCCGAAAAGGTGTTTTCGACGCTCCGAACTTACTTTTGGGTATGGTTTGGCATGCCGACTGTGGCGCCTGCGGGTGCAAGCAAGAAGCATGAGCAGTAGGAAGGAGAGCAACCGGTGGCCCAGAATGCAGTTCACACTCTCCGAGTGATCTGAAAAGGTGTTTTCGACGCTCCGAAATTACTTTTGGGTATGGTTTGGCCCTTCCAGCAACCTCCAAATAGCAAGCCGGGGAACGCAGTTTTGAGCAACAAGCCGGGGAGTGTAGCTTTGGTCAAAAGCACCCAATAGGCGCGTCTTGAGTGTTCAGTGGCTTGTGGGTATGGTTTGGCTGGCTTGTGGGTATGGTTTGGCCCTTCCGGCAACCACAAAAGCAAGGCGTGCAACAATTTCTGCGGCACTCTGGGCCACCGATTGCTCTCCTTCCTACTGCTCATGCTTCTTGCTTGCACCCGCAGGCGCCACAGTCGACACGCCAAACCATACCCAAAAGTAATTTTGGAGCGTCGAAAACACCTTTCCGGATCACTCGGGGAGTGTGGTCTGGGCCACCGATTGCCTCCTTCCTACTGCTCATGCTTCTTGCTTGCACCCGCAGGCGCCACAGTCGGCATGCCAAACCGTACCCAAAAGTAATTTTGGAGCGTCGAAAACACCTTTCCGGATCACTCGGGGAGTGTGGTCTGGGCCACCGATTGCTCTCCTTCCTACTGCTCATGCTTCTTGCTTGCACCCGCAGGCGCCACAGCCGGCATGCCAAACCATACCCAAAAGTAATTTCGGAGCGTCGAAAACACCTTTTCGGATCACTCGCAGAGTGTGAACTGCATTCTGGGCCACCGATTGCTCTCCTTCCTACTGCTCATGCTTCTTGCTTGCACCCGCAGGCGCCACGTGTGAACTGCATTCTGGGCCACCGATTGCTCTCCTTCCTACTGCTCATGCTTCTTGCTTGCACCCGCAGGCGCCACAGTCGGCACGCCAAACATACTCAAAAGTAATTTTGGAGCGTCGAAAACACCTTTTCAGATCATTCGGGGAGTGTGAACTGCATTCTGGGCCACCGAAGTACTGCTTGCTCTCCTTCCTACTGCTCACGCTTCTTGCTTGCGCCCGCAGGCACCACAGTCGGCATGCCAAACCATACCCAAAAGTATTTTTAGCGTCGAAAACACCTTTTCGGATCATTCGGGGACATTTTTGGCCACCGAAGTACTGCTTGCTCAAAACGATACCCAAAACGACACCGAAACCATACCCCTGGAATTGCAGCGTTCACATGGCGCGGGGGGGTGGCCCATTCGTTGCTCGTGCTCGAAAAGAGCTTGTGGACTCAGAGGTGGAGCCGTAGCCCAAGTAAAAGGTGCTGCATGGTGCTGCTGTGCTTCAAGTTGTTTATAAGTCTCGCTTGCAGCTACCAAGTCACCGGACAGCAGTCCGGGCTGCGAGGCGCACGCACGCAACGTGTAGCTGGTTTTGGCACATGCCCTGGACTGAGAGAATGGGCAAAATTTTCTGGTTTTGGAGGGCTGTCTGAACGATACTCTGAACGATACCTCAACGACACCCGGAAAGCACAAAAGGCGGGCCACCGCTTACTCATCAATCAGTGGTGGTCAGCGTGTGGGCCCTGCTCCACCTCCAGGTGCTTGCGGGCGGTCTGGAACCAGCGTCAAAAAGCATGTCATGGAGCTTGTGGGGAGGCGCAGCATCTACACCCTTCCTGCCTTCTTGCCTTCCTGCCTTACTGCCTTCCTGCCTTCCTGCCTTCCTGCCTTCCTGCCTTCCTGCCTTCCTGGCTTCTGCCTTCTTCCCTTGCTCCCTTCCTTCTTCTTCTGCCCTGCCTCCCTTCCTCTTCTGCCCTGCCTCCCTTCCTCTTCCTCCCTTCCTCTTCCTCCCTTCCTCTTCCTCCCTTCCTCTTCCTCCCTTCCTCTTCCTCCCTTCCCTTCCACCCTCCTTTTTCCCTTGCCCCATCCTTCCTTGCTCCCTTACTCCCTGGATTCCTTTATCCCTTCCTCCCATCCTTCTTCCCTTCGTCCTTTCTCCTCCTGCTTTCTCTTCCTCCCAGTTTCTCTTCCTCTGCTCTCTTCCTCCATTCTTTCTCTTTCCCCCTTCCACCCTTCCTTGACATAAACACACCAGTGTCTGAAACATTGCAGAACGATATAGCGAAGCCCCAAAAACGATAACGTGTTGCTCGAAATCGCCCAAAGTAGTCTTAGGTTTTGCCTCTCGCTCATATTGTGGGTGTAAGGTCGAGATAATTGTTCAAAAGAACACCCTCCTCAAAAATGGTTGGAGTACTAAAAATAGCATTGGTGGAACATCGATGGATTCCGGCCCGGCGGTTTCAGTTGGGTTTTAATCATTTGGCAGCGCCATCGTTCTTTTTCTCCAAAAGGAAACCCGAGCCCAGCACGGCCCTTTCAAGAGGTCGGAGACTTTGCGGAGGATCCCTTCGTTCAACGAAGAAGCTGGACAAAATCCGTGTATGTTTCTGCATATATATATACATATCATACGCAATGTGTACATATAGCGTGCACATATGCAATAGATGTACGCCATGCGTAGGTAAGTCCTGGTATCGTGCTGGCTAAATTATCACTTTGGAAAATGACCCTTTCCAGCCACAATCAGGATCCCTTCCTGTGCCGCTGTCAACGCAGTTCAGGCCAGCGCCTCTGGGTTTCTCTCAAAAGCTCGAAAAGATGGAAACCGATCCCTTTCACCAAGACGAAAGGCTGGTTCCCTTTGCCCTTCAACTGAAACCAGCCCCCAAATGGTCCTTGGAGCTCCGCTTTAGCCGCGAGGCAATGACAAATGCGGAGGTCGAAAAATCGACGCCCGCCAGAATCAGCTGCAAGCGGTCCGCTCTGGGAAGAGCGCACACACTCACCCAACAAGTTGTCTTGTCAGCCTAGCAAAACAGTCGGATCCCGACTGACCATGTGCAACCAACCTAGAGCATCAGAACCCTCCGCAACAAGATTCCGCAGGCCCATTTGTTTCTTGCCTAGTCGGATCCCGAAAAGAGAGCCTCCCATCCGTTGCCAGACCAAAGGCTTACCTTTGTAACTGTTTGCCTGGGGTTTCCTTTATGTTCCCCCTTACCAATAAATTTCCCTCGCATCATAGAAGTGGATAAAATTGTGGTTTTGCTTTTCTTAGGCAGTCCCTAGGAGTTTCTTGGATGAGGGCCTTCCACCCCCAAAGACCTCAACTAATCAGGTCTTGGGCTTGTAGGGGAGGGACTTGCCAATTGTTTGCCGGGGTTCTTGCAAAGGCGCACACCCCTTCCGGTTTCTGCAAAAGGCAAACTCCCCCTTTGGTTAAAGGGAAACCAAATCTAGGTCCTCCAGTAGCGCCCTTTTACCCTTTTTTTGGGGGAGGGTTCCCCGACTAAAATAGACTACAGAAAAAGGAAAAGTTGGTACCAACTTATTCTAACCTCTCTGGAGGACCTCGAAATGGAAGCCATGGGGGGCAAAGGTTGCCACCCCCCCCCTTCCATTCATCCTTGACGCGAGGAGTCCGTCTTGGGCGCCGAAGATGCAGCAACGGAGTTTCAGAACTTCGGCGCCTCGGCTATGAATCCAAAGGGGCCATTTGGCACGTCTTTTTTGGAGTTGGTACCCATTTTTGTTCGGTGGTTTTGAAGGGAAACCCAAGGGGAACCATGAGTTTGGGGTCCTAACAAAAAAAAACGACGCTTTTTGTCTTAGTTTCATGGTACCCTGAGCATTGGACTATTGCAGGGGTCTGGTATGTTGGAAGGGTTTGGACCTATGGTCCGTTTTGAGCTACCAAGATTCTTTGTGTAGAACTGTGTAGCCCAGATAAGCACTGTAACTTGTGTGTTAGAACAAGTGAGCGGGAACTGGGGGCGCTTAACAGGTGTCTGAGACGCTGAAAAGGGACATTCAGGGCTCCATGGCGGGGATATTGGCTGAACCACCAGATCTGTGGAGCACCCAACCTGGCCTTGTCTGTTTGACCTCTGCAAGAATTGGCTTTGCGCACCTCGCAACATGTGGGTGGGTGTTGGAACTCGGTTGGTTGGTTTTCTGACTGAAGGAACAGTTCCACGTTGTTTGGTGCCCCTGTTTGAGACAGATCCGGCTGTACGCACCGAAAGGAAATCCCAGGCTTCTCCCGCTTCATCAGAGTCGCAAGAGGTGCCGAAGCTCTGAGTCACGCCGCCAATTCCCAACCACGTTAGTTTCTGTTTCAATGGGTAGGGGATAGGCAACACTGATCACGACTTTTGGTGTTGAAATGCCCCAAAACTAAGTTCCAAACTGTTTACCCGGAAGGTATTTCTGTTCGGAGGGTACATGTTTTGGGCTTTGGCAAACCAAAGGGAAACCAAAGGTCTGGATTTTTGATTTCTTGGTCTGGTTCCAACCACATTTCACCCAGGGAGAAGCACCCCCCTAATAAATTGGGGTTGATGAATATGTCAACATTAGGTTTGAGGGAGCCTAAACGGGTGTCACCTCGTTTCTTGCTTCTAGGAATGAAGCTGGGTGGAGAGCAGCTTTGCGGGATGTTGTGGTTTAGGGTTTAAGGCATTTCCGAGCTTTAGCGGCTTAGGGCTTAGGGCAGGGGGTTGTGTGTGCTGTTTGAAGGCTTGTCCAGGTTGCGAGCTGGTCTAAGGTGGTTGTAGTGTAGAGTTAGGTTACTTCAGGGTTTAGACTTGGCTCGGTTTCCGAAAGCTGGGTTGTTGTTTTTTTGGTGGGCGGGGTTGCTCCAGAGATGGTCCAGCCGGCGAAGTCAAGCCGAAAACAAGCCTGAACCAAGCTCATTCAACCCCAAACCAACCCCAAATCGGGACTAACTTTGTTTGACCCTTGACCATTGTGGGAAGGGGGTGGGTCTGGCAACGCTGTACCGTGTGTATGCATACTGTAATATAGTGAAATTACATCTGTGTATCTTATGTACATCTTGTAATTATCCAGTTATCCTCCCAATTCAAATAGAACCCTGCCAAGAGGCCTCCCCTGTCCAACCAGTTGTACTTGAGCTCATTTCTAGCCTCCAGCTGGAAGGACCCCTGAAGATTGGGTTCCATTTACAGAGGCCAATTGAGCCACGTGCTCAAAACCCGGGGATTGATGAAGGTTAGTAAGGGACAATCCCAGCCATAAATAGGTGCGGCTGCCTTTTCAATTCCTTACATGGTTCTGGGTTCACCATTGGTGCACCAGGTTTTGATGACTCAATTGCGGGAGCTTCCATGCTAGTCTGCGGGGTGTACTACCACCACCATACCGCGCAGTCCCCATCCCTCCCTCCCGCCATTCCTCGACTCGCCGTTGCACCGAGACGGCATGTCGGCCGGCGGAGCGCAAGTGATTCTGGACCTCTTGCCGGGGCCCCGAGTTCCTGCGGCCCCACCTGTGAGTGCGCGTAGAAGGGCTCGGGTCTCCGTGTTTGCGTATACGTATGCAAACACATGGGCATGTCATATAGATATCTATGTTTCACGAACACACACACACACACACACACACACACACACACACACACACACACACACACACACACACACACACACACACACACACACACACACACACACACACACACACACACACACACACACACACACACACACACACACCCACAAAAAAACACACACACACACACACACACACACACACACACACACACACACACACACACACACACACACACACACACACACACACACACACACACACACACACACACACACACACACACACACACAAACCACACACACACACACACACACACACACACACACACACACACACACACACACACACACACACACACACACACACACACACACACACGCGCACGCGCATGCGCACGCGCACGCGCACGCGCACGCGCACGCGCACGCGCACGCGCACGCGCACGCGCACGCGCACACGCACACGCACACGCACACGCACACGCACACGCACACGCACACGCACACGCACACGCAGACGCA